AGCAGACAGTGTGGGTGGCCCTGGTGAAGGCATACAGAATCAACCTCATACTCTGTAGTCTCCCAGGACAACACAGAGGGGAGGGACACGTACAACCCTGCCCCTGGAGGAGGCAGGAGTCCTCCAGGAATGATTGAAACCAAAGTCTGACCCTCCGACACATTCAAGGACAGCTGGCAGGTCTGCTGGGACACAGTCTACAAAAGTAGCTGTTACTGAAAAGCTGTCACGCAAGAGCTGGGGGCTTCAGAAGTGGTTGCTCATGCTGTGTGTTTGGGAACTCATTTTCTGTGGTCTATTTATGTGTGTAATGACACTACTGGGAAGTGAGCTGCCTCAACCGTAGTTCAAACCAAGACACTCAGTGTGCTAAGTGGGAGAGGATGCCTTGGATATATACTTAGGTAGGATGTCCAGTTCAGTCACAGGTAATTCCTTCCTTTCTTCTTTTCTTTTCTGTGTTGGAGTTAGAACTGGGCACTTTGTACATTATCAGCAAATAGCTCTGTAGAACTATCCCCCACGCACCTAAGCACAGGTCTTAAAGAAACTGCTGACTCTCCTTGAAGTGAAGCAGTCAGTGAGTATGACCTGGGTTGACAGAGGAGCCTCAGTTGGTGAAGTCTCTTAAGCCAAATGTTGAAATGGTCAGCTCAAAACACTCCACCTTACAGAGCATCAGAAAGAACAGATAAAATCCCAGGATCCTTTAAGATCAAAAGGCTCCAAACCCAGGAGGAGTACACCTGGGAAATAATCAAATTGAGAGCTGAAATCCATAAAATAGAAACAAAGAAAACAATACAAAGAATCAATGAAACAAAGAGTTGGTTCTTTGAGAAAATCAACATGATAGACAAACCTTTATCAAACCTAACTAAAAGACAGAGAGAACATGCCAATTAAAATCAGAAATGAAAAAGGGGACATAACAACAGACACTAGGGAAATCCAAAGAATCATCAGGTTATACTTAGAAAGTCTGTACTCCACTAAATTGGAAAATCTAAAGGAAATGGATGATTTTCTGGATAGATATCACTTACCAAAATTAAATCAAGAACAGATTAACAATTTAAACAGATCTATATCCCCTAAAGAAACAGAAGCAGCCATACAAAGTCTTCCAACCAAGAAAAGTCCATGGCCAGGTGGATTCAGTGTGGAATTCTAACAAAAATTCAAGAAGAGCTGATACCAATACTCTTCAAATTGTTCCACACAATAGAAGCAGAAGGATCACCACCAAACTCTTTTTACGAGGCTACAATTATATTAGTAGCCAAACCACACAAAGACACAACCAAGATAGGGAATTACAGACCAATCTCCCTCATGAACATTGATGCAAAAATACCCAATAAAATACTGGCAAATCAAATCCAAGAACACATCAGAAAAATCATACACCATGAACAAGTAGGCTTCATCCCAGGGATGCAGGGATGATTCAACATATGAAAATCCATCAATGTAATCCACCATATAAACAATCTGAAAAACAAAAACCACATGATCATCTCACTAGATGCTGAAAAAGCCTTTGACAAAATTCAACACCCCTTCATGATAAAGGTCTTAGAGAGATCAGGGATAACAGGAACATACACAAAAATAATAAAAGTTATATACAGCAAACCAACAGCCAACATCAAATTAACTTGAGAGAAACTAAAGGCGATTCCTCTAAAATGAGGAACAAGGCAAGAATGTCCACTCTCTCCACATCGCTTCAATATTGTACTTGAAGTTCTATCTAGAGCCATACGACAACAAAAGGAGATCAAGGGGATACAAATTGGAAAAGAAGAAGTCAAACTTTTACTACTTGCAGACGATATGATAGTGTACGTAAGTGACCCAAAGAATTCTACCAGGAAACACATACAGCTGATAAACACTTTCAGCAAAGTGGCAAAATAAACTAAAAAAAATCAGTAGCCCTACTATATATAGACAATAAAGGGGATGAGAAAGAAATCAGAGAAACATCACCCTTTACAATAGCCACAAACACCATAGAATATCTTGGAGTAACTCTAACCAAACAGTTGAAAGACCTGGATAACAACAACTTTGAGTCTTTAAAGAAAGAAATTAAAGAAGATACCAGAAAATGAAAAGATCTCCCATGTCCTTGAATAGGTAGGATCAACGTAGTAAAAATGGCAATCTTACCAAAAGCAATCTACAGATTCAATGCAATCCAGATCGAAATACCAGCACAATTTTTCACCAACCTGGAAAGGACAATCCTCGACTTTATGTGGAAAAACAAAAGACCCAGGATAGCGAAGGCAACCTTGTACAAAAACAGAACTTCCGGAGGTATCACCATCCTTGACTTCAAGCTCTGCTATAGAGCTGTAGTACTGAAAACAGTTTGGTATTGGTACAAAAGCAGACAGGTAAATAAATGGAATTGAATCAAGGACCATGATATCAACCCATACACCTTTGAACATCTAATCTTTGACAAAGAAGCTAAAACTATACAATGGAAAAAGAAAGCATCTTCGACAAATGGTGCTGGAGTAACTGGATGCTGGCATGTAAAAGACAACAGATAGATCCATATCTATCACAATGCACAAAACTTAAGTCCAAATGGATCAAAGACCTCAACATCAATCCAGCCACACTGAATCTCTTAGAGGAGAAAGTGGGAAGTACCCTTGAAGGAATTGGTACAGGAGACTGCTCCCTGAACATAACACCAGTAGCACAGACTCTGATATCAACAATTAACAAATGGGACCTCCTGAAACTGAGGAGCTTTTGCAGGGCAAAGGACACAGTCAACAAGACCAAACGACAATCCACAGAATGGGAAAAGATATTCACAAACCCCACATCTGACAGAGGGCTGATCTCCAAAATTTACAAAGAACTGAAGAAGCAAGTCTCCAGAAGACCAAAGGATCCAATTTTTAAAAATGAGGTACAGGACTAAATAGAGAATTCTCAATAGAGGAGTCCAAAAATGGCCAAGAGACACTTGAGAAAGTGCTCAACATCTTTAGCCATTAGGGAAATGCAAATTAAAACAACTCTGAGACACCATCTCACTCCCATCAGAATGGCTAAAATCAAAACACTAATGCCAGTTTATGCTGGAGAGGATGTGGAGAAAGGGGTACATTCCTCCACTGCTGGTGGGAATGCCAACTTGTGCAGCCACTTTGGAGATCGGTATGGAGATTCCTCAGGAAAATGGAAATCAATCTACCACAAGACCCAGCAATTCCACTCTTAGGCACATACCCAAAAGATGCACATTCGTACAACAAGGATGTCTGTTCCACTATGTTCATAGTAGCATTATTTATAATAACCAGAATCTAGAAAGAACCTATATGCCCCTCAACTGAAGAGTGGGTAGAGAATATGTGGTACATTTACACAATGGAGTACTACTCAGCAGAAAAAAATGGAATCATGAAATTTGCAGGCAAATGGATGGCACTGGAAGAAACCATCCTGAGTGAGGTAACCCATTTACAAAAAGACAAGCATGGTGTCTACTCATTCATATATGGATTTCAGACATGGAGCAGGGCATTGCCAGCCCACAATCCCACCTCCAGAGAGTTTGGGGTACAGGGAGGACCCTAAGATAGATATGCATGGTAACCTGGAGAAGGGTTATGGGATGAGATCTCCTAATTGGATTGGGGGGGTGAGAAGGGGAGGGCAGAAGGAGATGGGAGAAGGAGAGGGAGAAAAGAAGAGGGGAGAGGAGGATGTGGGAGAGCAGGAAGGTTGAGCCAGGGTAAGAATGGAGGAGAAACAGATGGGAGATACCATAAAAGAGGGAGCCAGTATAAGTTGGAGGAGAGATCTGGCACTAGTGAGATCTTTATAGATTTACAAGAATGACACCAACTGGCATTATGGCTACCTTAAATGCCCTCCCATGATAATAAGAATGATGACTACCTTATATGCCATCCTAGAACTCTCATCCAGTGGCTGATGGAGGCAGAGGCAGACACCCACAGCTGTGAACTGAATTGAACTCCTGGAACCCAGTTGCAAAGGAATCAAGATCTGGCTGGCGAAACCCACAGAGGCAGCTGACCTAAACAAGGGGGAATACATGGACCCCAGACTGATGACTGAGGGGCCAGCATGGGACTGATCCAGACATCCCTCCCACCAAACCTGGGTGACAGAGAGGAGGCCTTGGCAATCTGTGGGACCTTGGAGAGTAGAGCAGTATTTATTCCTGGCATATAGAAGGACTCTGGGAACCCATGCCATGTGGAGGGATGCTCTCTCAGCCTGGACACATGCGGAAGAACCTGGGCCCTTCCCAGGATGATGTGACAGACTCTGAAAATCCCTCATGGAAGCCTTTGCCCTCCCTGGGAAGCGGAGGGGGATGGAGTGGGAGTGAGGGGTTGGGAGGATTGAGGGGTGGGGGAGGAGGAGAGGGAGAGGGAACTGAAAGTGGCATGAGGAAAAAGTTAAATATATATATATATACATATATATATATATGTAAAGGCTCCAGACAGATTCTCATTTAAAAGACGAGGAAACTGGGGCTCAAGTGGGTTGGACAGCTATAGAAAGAGACCACTGTTTCTTCATGGTGACTCATCTAGAGAGGCTTATAGCTGGCCTGCCTGCTAACCCTGTCTCACTACATTAAACGGCCCCCACTGACTTCCAGGCGAGGAAGACTGTGGCATTTGCTGAAGCTACACTCTCTCTTCTGAGTCCCCAGGAAGCCCTGCTTTCCACATCTACCCTGGTGTGTTGTATTTGTGGTGAAGAATTCACCCTCAGTGCACAGTGGCCATGAATGCCAACTGCTTTCCAAGTACACGCAAGAAGGCAGCTCTCTGAAAAGAACTGAGAAAATGCTTTGTGAACATAATTCGGAAGACTGTGAGTTCAGTACAAATAAAGGAAGTGGGAGAAAGCCCTTATTGTTTGTCTTTCTCTGAGCAAGCACTGTTTGATCTGCCAACAGAGATGGTCTCAGTACTCACCATGGAACCAGGGAGCAATGGTGTCGGTGTTTTTCTGGTAACCGGCACGAAATGGCAGCTGCTCCTCTCTGAACCATTGGATGATGTCCTCCTGGGTGGAGCTGGACTCTGTGCTTACCACTCCCTGATTCCTGCCATGGGTAAGATGAGTCTCCAGTTAGAAATAACTAATTTGAGCCGGGCGGTGGTGGCGCACGCCTTTAATCCCAGCACTCGGGAGGCAGAGGCAGTCGTATCTCTGTGAGTTCGAGGCTGGGCTGGACCGATAGCCTCCGAAACAATACAGAGAAACCCTGTCTCATAAAAACCAAAAAAAAAAAAAAAAAAAAAGAAAGAAATAATGAATTTGAAATAATGTCCTCCACTCTGGTATACTCATAGACCAGTGTGTTGCTCAGCCTCCATGGAAGAATCTTCCTCCTATAGCAGATGGGAGCATATTCAGAGACCCACAGCCAGACGTTGTTCAGCCGGAAATGTCTTCATCACATCCCTCCCCTCGGGTCAGGAAGCTATATGCAAAAGGACACAGGAAGAGTGTAGTAGGGGGTATGGATGACACCAAGACGTAATAGGGCTGACACACACAAGAACTCACAGACTGTGGCAGCATGCCAGGGCCGGCACAGGTCTGAGTCTTTGGGATCCAGTGCTCAGAGGAGGAAATGGACATGAGCTCCCATTCCTAACCCAGACCAACTGACAACCACGTACAAAGGGAAAAAAAATCTCAGTTTTTTCACAGGTATACAAGCCACACTTAAAGTAGGCAGGCCCCGTGCCTAGCAGTAAACGCCTACACAAAATGAACTTGATGGTATTTTAGGAATTTTTTTTGTCTTATAATGCTTTGTTTGGGCTTTTTTTTTGTCTCATTGGTCTTTTGGTTATACATTATGATTTCCAATTTTGTGTTTTTAAAGTTTGTCATACTTTTTCCCAGTTTATGCAGGTTTTTATTCTGGTTTGTTAGCTTTTCTCTTTGCTGGCTTTTTTTTCTAAAGAGAAAGAAGGTATAGAATTGGATGGGTGGAGGTGTGGAGGGACCCGGAAGGAAATGAATGTGAGGAAACTGTGACCAGAACATATTGTATACATTTTCAATAAAAAGCTTATGGTAATTTATGATAATCTGATTATAGATGTGATATTTTTATCTGTGCTAAAGAAGAATTAAAGTTTTAACTGTGGTTTAAGGGAAAAAGACATAATGATCCATCATATGTATGCATATATGTGTATAGCCTCACACACACGTATTTGTGTGTATGTATATGTGTGTGTGTACATATGTGTGTGTGTACATATCTACACACACACAAATTTGTTTGCATCAATTCAAACAACGGAGGGCTGGAAATATCCCAAGAAAAAATTTCTACTATATCAAGCATATACAGACATTTGTGCTTGTCATTACTTCCCAAACAACGCTGTATAAATGTTTACTTATTTATACAGCACTTACATTATAAGTCATTATAAGTGATTTATGGATTGTTTAAAATATAGGGAGACTATGCAATTACATGCAAATGCTGGACCATTTTATGCAAGGGGCTTTAGCATCCTTCACATGTGGTCTCTTTAAGGAGTCTTGAGAATTGTCCCCATACACCTTTATACAGAGAGGTAGAGGGGAGAAGGAGGAGGGGGCAGGAATGGGAGAGCGAGGGGAAGGAGAGAAGGGATGAAGAGGTGGGAGAAGAGAATGATAAGCATTTCCATTTCCAACCTGTAATCACAAGGCAGAGTTAATGGTAGGTTGGGCCCCTACATGCCAGCATTGTATGGTGCTGTAGGACCAGGGAGAGGGACCTAAAGGACCAGTCATAGCAATAACCACTACTGTGTTAAATTCAAACTCACTTTACTATGGGTTAGAAGATCCTCTAACTTCCAATTAACATTTGAGAAAAGCAGCATTCAGAAGTCAAAGCTATTTTCCTGGACAGAAAGGACGCACACACAAAGGCAAGCACCTGTAATGAGGTGGCTGCCTCCCTAACTTGCTCATTACTTGCTTGTCCTCTGCTTTCTCGGTTCCTGATCACACACACACACACACACACACACACACACACACACACACACACACACACCACCTTTGTGATTCTGCTGGCAATGTACCATGCCATGAGTTCCACGTGGCATGTCAGCCCTGCAAACATTCGTGCATATATGCAAATATGGGTGTGTATTGTCACTTATGACATCCAGAGGATTTGAGAGAAAATGTCCTATAATATTTAACTTTTCCCAGGAAGCACACCTGGCATACATATGAGATTATATGACCAGTTATCATACCAGTTTCCACATTAGTTTCCTTTAGTCCTCAGAGGTGGAGTAGAATTTCCCACACATGCGACAGGCTAGTGTCTGTCTGTCTCTGGGCTGGCTCCTGGCTGACCTGTGTCATAGCTGCCCAGAGTCCCAAGCCTCGCCCCCCCATCCACTCTGACACAAGTTCATCATAGAGTGTCTTAAGTTGGAAAAAAATGAGCTGGACACAACTGACGAGAACTGTCTCCTACCCTTTAAAGGGCCACCTTCATTATCAATTATCAGATACATTAAAACTATAGGAAAGGGACATTGTGTGAACCATATCCCGTGACGGTGCTCAAACAAGAAAAAGCTGTTCATAAAACTCTGTGTCCAGTTACACTAGGCAGAGCCCTGAGCAGGAGTTTACTTGTGACCTCTTACAAACCTAAGGAGGTACTTATTTCCTGACTTTTTTATTTTTAGCTATAAGGGAAAAAAATAAAACCTCATTTCCCAAACTGTGTACAGGGTCATTTAGTGTTGGTCACTACATCTCCATGTGGAACTTTCAGTGGAATAAGGAGAATTATAGTAGGAGAAATGATACACCCTTGTGTTTCCTCTGAGGTCATAATCCCCATTTAGAAAAAAATAATTTAAAAAAACTTTAAAAAATCAGAGATTGCTGCATTTTCCAAACTCTTTTAATAGAGAAGTATTTTTAGTTTTTCTTTCAGAAGGCAATTCTAGATGCAGACTGTATCATGCAATTGGTAGTTTATCTTAAACATTTCTTTCTAAATATTAGAACATTAAGATTGAATATGTAGCTCAGCGGTATAGTGCTTGCCTAACATGCAAGAGGCTCTGGGTTTGATCGTTCCTACAAGCAAACAAATAAATACTAGAATATTAACAATTCTATAAGCCAGTAGTCACTGAAAAATGAATTTGGTAGCAAGCATGAGTGACGGGGTTTTACTCTAGGTATCACTATATTCTTTTCTTGCCTGCCAGCATGTGCTGTGCCTAGAAGGCAAAGGTTCCTTCATCACCAAATAGAGACTTGGTTCCAAGGTGGAGCATTTCTAAATTCTAAAAATATGAATTGGCTCTGCGTCTAAGAAAGAGAACTGCCATCGACCCCTGACTCTTCAGCAATAGAAAAGCAGTCCCAGGGATGTGGCTGGAGTCCTCCTGCCTTCAGGATCCTCCTTTGTTACTTTTTTGACACTAGAGGCAGTGTTGAGCATCTTACATCATCCCACCATCCACGTTTCCTTTTAGTGTTAGCTTGCTGCACTAGAGGGCAGGGGAGGGCGGGGACGGGGATGGGGGACAGGAAGTCCTCAAACTAGACATCTTCAACCTGTGGTTGGGTTCTAATTATAGCCACTTTGGATATCTTACAGGAGAGAAAGCAGGGTCAGAGGAGAGCCTGTGTTGATCTAAACAGCAAGCCAGCCCCCCATGTCCCAAGACACACAACTTTAATCAGCCCATCCCAGTGCCATGAAGCCGTCCGTCCGTGTGGTTTCTTACCCTAAGGACTTCGGAGGGTGCAGGAACTGGGGCTTCGGGGGGAAGAGGAGGTCTTCTGGGCTTCTGTGGACCAGCCAGAGGGTTCAGCAGCCCGTCTCCGCTCCTGCCTCTTTGGGATAGCCTCTTGTAGTCTTCCCGTGCTTGCTTAGCTAAGGAGCGTCGCTTCTCATCAGCTGCCTTGGATTTTCGCACTAGAAAGACAACAGAGTCTGAGGAAGCCCATCTGGCTTGCCACAGGTCACATTCAGAGCCCACAGTCGCGGGAGACTCAAGGCTGCACAATGGGGCCCTGGGAAGGCTCCTGGCAGAGCTGGCCTTGTGCTCACGTTAGTAATCACTCCCTGTAACTACTACCACACTTTAAGGGCACTTCGGTGACTGTGCAGCATTCCTGTCTGCATTTAGGAGCTGAGGACTTTCTGAGGAAAGAAAGACAAAGGAGAAGGAGGGAAGTGGGAACTGCATAACAAGGTTGTTTCTGCACTAGCAGGACTAAGCTGTGAGGCCTAGTTGGAGAGACTAGACTAGAGGCCAGAACTACGTCCCTGATACACGAAAGGTCAGGGTGCAGGGCATCCCAAGCCATGATCAAAGACTAGGAAGGAAGGATTTCTCTGTAGCAGGTGAGCCAGGAAAAGAACAGCAAGGCTTGACACATCTGGGGACCACCACAGGCTTAATTGAATATGAATTGGCCAAAGAGACAGGAAATAAAGGATTTTTTTCAATCCATAAACATGCTGTGGAGAATTTCATAACACCTTAGTAAATGTACAAACACTTCACAGGAAGCCCTGTAACATTAATTACTTTCTAAAGTAGAGGGGTTATCATCTTTTAGCCGTATTGTGTTAAAGATTAACACAGGATGTAGTAACTATTTACTTTGGGGGCAGGGAGTTTGGAGACATGGTTTCTCTGTATAGCCTTGTTTATCCCTGCTCTGTAGACCAGGCTGACCTTGAACTCACAGAGATCTGCTTACTTCTGCCTGGGGCTAAAGGAATTCATCACTAACCCTGATTTCAAAGTTTCAGGGGGGGGGTTGTTTCATTTGCTTTGCTTTTTTGCAATAACCATTTTCATTAAGGTTTTTTTTCAATAACTCAGGCATTGTGGGTTAGATAGCGTCATGTTTGTCACTGAAGACTCACTAAAAATCTTTCATCATACGAGAGTTTCAGTGCTTAGCACAAGAAGGCCACAGACTGGATCTTGCAAATATTTTTTGTTTCACAAAACTTTTAGCATAATGGATTGTAATGGAACTGCAGACCAATTCAGGACCTTAGCATCCTGAAAATCTTGCTATTTAGGTTCTTTCTGTGTCCCTCAAGTGACTATCAGGCAATCAAGTCTTCTCTGTTGGTACCAAGCAAAGACTCTAATCCATTCTTCAGCCTGGGTTTCCAATTCCCTGCCTGTCCTGCCTTTCTGGTTTGGCCCTGGCAGTACAGGCCAGTGTTGGGTCAGAGGCACGGAGTCGTGAGAGTGTTGCAAATATATCCCACCTGTCAATTCCGAGTGCTTTGTATTGCAAAGTTACATTGTGGAATATTATTTTCAGATATGTTAACATTCGTTTATGCTGTGGAATATCTGTTTAATGATGCTGAGATGTGTTGTGTTCTTTTATATTGTATTTGTTTCCCTCTGTGAGGCTGTGTTACTTTGCCTGCCTAAAACACCTGATTGGTCTAATAAAGAGCTGAACAGACAATAGCAAGGCAGGCAGGAGAAGGGATAGGCAGGGCTGGCAGGCAGAGAGAATGGATAGAAGGAGGAGAACATAAGAGGGGGAGCAAAAGAGCAAGAGAAGAAGGAGAAGACACCAAGAGCCAGCCACCTAGCAAGCCAAAGAGTAAGAAGGAAAGAAAGGTATGTAGAATAGAGAAAGGTAAAAGCCCAGAGGCAGAAGGTACATGGATAACTTAAGAAAAGCTGGCTAGAAACAAGCCAAGCTAAGGCCAGCATTTGTAAGGCAGATAAGTCTCCATGTGTATTTATTTGGGAGCTGGGTGGCGGGACCCCAGAAGTAAAGAGCAAAACAACCAACAACAAAGTTACATGGCGAGCATTTTATGGTGCATCCATTAAGGGCGACTGAGATATATCAGTTAAAAAAACTGTTTAAAAGTATAAGCCCTATTGAGAACTTGGGGAGAAACCCAAAACAGAATAACAAGAAGCAAAATTCAAATGAATAATTTAAAGTGCAGCTTCTCCAAGAAAATCTCCCTGATCTTTCCTTCATAATTTAGAATTTTAAAATAGTGATATTTTATGCTGTTTACAATGTTTTCTTCTCCAACAAAGGGACATATTTTAATGTCATTGAACATTCTTCCACGGGATTTTTTCCATAGCTATATACAATCCCATTTTAATTTAATGGTAGAAACATGAATGCAAAACCATTCTGCCACTCAGGCACCTGAGTAGTTATCACTTCCTGGTGCCAACTGAGTGACAACTCAGTGGAAGGTGCTTCTCAAGGAAGCACTCTGTGCGCCTCCGGATGGACCGCTGAAGCGGAAGGTCCAGTCAAGAGCCTGGGTGGCGCCGCCGAGGCCCCTGGGTACTCACGGGACGCCTGCCATTCGGAATCCTCCTTCCAGTTCTTGTATATCTGCTTGGTTTTCTCATCCTCTGTTTGTTTCACCTCTTCGTCTTCTTTTTTCTTCACGGGTTCTTTAGTCTGTTTGAAAAGAGAAATAGTGAACGGATGCGACAGTTTCTGTAAGAGGGCACAAGGCACCCTGGGTTCCGTTTGGAAGTCTCTGGCCCGCTAGGGAGGTACTTGGTGTCAGCAATGCCTGAAGCAAGAGCTCTGGATACCTCAGTGTGGGACTCTAGACTCTGTTCCTGCTGCCCCCGCAGGCTGCTCCCCCGGAAGTGAGAAAGAGCGTCACATGGAGTTACTGTGAGCATCCATGCTTTGAGGAGTGCCTGGCGCAATGCACAGCACGTAAGACCTTTCTAAGCAGTCCTTCCCCAGACAGGGTACTTAGCTATTCCGAATATGCTTCTCTAGCGTAAACATGCGGAGTCATGGGGCCATCATAGATACTGACCTGAGGTAGCTAACAGGCTCCCAAGAGCATTCTTAACTGGGTGTGGCTTAAATGTTCTCCACCTTGCATCCAAATAGGAGAACATGATAAGTGATTTGCGGTGCTCAAACAAGGAATGAGCAAGAAGCCGGACAAAAGTATTTTCCTTTGTTTATGTGCATGTAGGTGCACACATGTGTGCAGGTTCCCCTGTTGAGCAGAAGAGGGTATTGAATTCCTTGGAGTCTGGGGAATCTGTGAGCTGCATGATGTTGGTAGTTAGTGGAAATCAAACTGAGGTCCTCCTCTAGAGCATAGGGTTCACCCCACCCCACCCCACCCCCACCTAGTGCCACCTGCCTAGGTTGTTTTTTATAAAGAAGTTTCAAAAGCTAATCCACTAAAGGGAACCTATTAAGAAAATACCACAGAGTGCTTAGTTGATAGGTGATAATCTGATGTCTGGCAGTGCTATATTTAGTAAACCCAACCCTTTCTTCTCCACAGTGTAATTATATGGGCACAGTGGGGATGGAGATAAAATGAATGAGCCTCACAAGTTAATAGCAGGTGAGATCTGGTCCTGACCTTTCTGTTTATTCAAAGAAGCTGGAAATGTAAAGAACTCTTTCTGAGCTAATGTCTAAAAGGGCAAGTCTTGCTTCATCACCTTTGTTCTATGGAACCTGGGGATCACCTTCTCATCCACTCTCTCCCACTACCTGTCATCAGGCTTTGACCACATCTAACAAGCCTTCTCCTCCGTGTCTGTGTGCCTGGGGTTCCTGCCTGAACCACACTTCCTCTCATCCATCCGCATTGCCTCTCCAGGGCTCTGCTCCAACACCATCTCCTCAAAACGACCTTCTCCAAACACCACCCGCCTTCCAGTATCCCCCCAGCCTCTACATTCTGCTCTATTTTCTCCAGATTTCTTATGATCACAAGACTTAACAGATAAATTTATCTTTTCTCACCACCACCCCCACATCCAGAGTATAAGCTTCCTGAAGGGAAGAAATTTTATAAAATTTTATCACAAAATATGTATTCAATTTCCACATCCATACCTGGTGCATATCAGGCATTCAGCAATATTTATTGAATGAATATATGGCTTGACTTTCTCAGCTTTCATCATTTAAGCTGATATGATGTAATTAGGGACAGAGGTATGGAAAATTTTTCTACCAATTTCCTGCATGTAGTCATTCCCCAGTGTCTAGGATAGCACTGAAAGTTACAATGTTTGCAGTTAACCTATATGCTTCCTTGTGTTTACATCAAATCTTCTAATTCATAATGCAAGGTAAATACTTTCTAAATACTTATTATACATGGCCAATACAAATGCAGTGTTTTCCAAATACCTGTGGTGCATGGTTGGTTAAATCCATAGACATGAGGTAGAGAATGCCTTCCATTGTCAATATGCACATGAGAACTCATGTTCCAAAAATACATTATTTCTTTTAAAGACTTGATTCATTCATTCGTGTGTGTGTGTGTGTGTGTGTGTGTGTGTGTGTGTGTGTGTATGTGAGTGTTCAGGTACACATGTAGAGACCAGAAGAAAACACCTCTATTACTCTCCGCCTGTTCCTTTGATGGGATCTTCTGTGAACCTGGGGCTTGTGGGATTTTTTGTTTTGTTTTGGTTTGTTTTGTTGGCTGAGCTAGAAGCCAGAAGCATCCAAATGGTTCTTCTGCTTCCACCTCTCTTGGAGAGGGCTACAGGTGTGTGTGTGTGTGTGTGTGTGTGTGTGTGTGTGTGTGTGTGTGTGTGTGTGTGTGTATCTGTGACTCCTTATGTGGATATTGAGATCCAAACTCTGGGCCTCATGATTGCACAGCAGACAAGCCCTCTTAATTATTGCGCCATCCTTCCAGCCCTGAATTCAGCACGATTTCTTGATGTTCCAGTACTTTAAGGTGTCACGAAGAAGAGTTGGGGAATAGACCCCGAGGCCCACAGGAACTTGTAGGTAGCCTCTTTGAAAGTCTGTTCTTGGGCCTGGATCCATTTGAACACTTGCTTTCTTGGACTTATGTTTTGCCACAAAGTTTCAGACTTATTGTGCATCAAATCCTACCACAATCTATCCCTAGTTTATTGTGAACAGCCTGTGATCTGATAGCTATCTAATATAGTGGCAAAAGTAGAGTGTTGTGGGATATTCGACTACACTGTGAACCCCAGGTTTGCATTTGCATTCATTAAACAAAGTCAACCTTGGGTCAGGAAACGAACATAGCAACCAGTTGACAGAAAGGAATCATAGAGAGTCAAAGGGTGTCTGTAAGACAATAGGCAGACACACAGGAAGTATTAGGGATGGACTTTGTGGTATGTGTTATGTTGCTGTTGTTTTGGCATAGCAGAAGGATGCTCTCTTTCAGAGATTGCAGATAAGAGAAAGGGTCAGCTAGTCGCTACTCAACCTCTCTGAGCTAGCAGGTTTTCACCCCAGCCTTTGATTTCCAAGTCTTATTGATAAATAGAATGATAAAGATTTAATTAAAAAGCTGTATTTGGTGGTAGCGATATAGCTGGTGCCTGTGGAAACAGAATTCCCGCCAGGCTAGGGCTTGAGCAGTCTGGCTGCTGCCAGAGAAGCAGGCCAGTAACCGGGGAGCCACAATTGTTGGCTGAAACCGCAGTAGATCAAAGCACAGCCTCTGTGGTGATGGAAAAACAACCGTAGGGCATGTTCTTTAGGGACAAGGTCATGTCTGGATGAATGGAAAAGCAATCCCAGACCCAAAGATGCTCTCAGCTCAATGCACATTGGCAGCAGAAGCAGTTGCTCATCGTAGCAGAGAGGCTCACAGAGGCAGCAACCACAGGAGCCACTTGAGCAGGAATCACAGTTGATGCAGAACTTGATAGGCCATTTGTCACTCTCTAAAATTAGTCTTCCCTGGATGTTCACAGCCGCTGGGGATGTCGTCTCTGTTTTTGCTCTTCAGCGAGAAGTTCAGCAGAAACCTCCTGGCATCTGTTAAATTGCATGATATCCAAGTCGTTCCCAAGTCAAGATAAATGGGGAACGATGAATAGCTGTGCTTGTGGCTCTCAGGACAGATTTCACATTCTGCTGCCTAATTTCATGTCTGCATGATCCTAATTAACTAATTTGTGGAACATTAGTGGAAATGCCTATGCATCTAGCCCCCTGAAGACAGAATGCAAATCTATTTTACCTGGTGGAATCCATATGCCTACATATGATTGATGGAATCTGCCAACTTTTGTTGAATATATCTTGGAAAAAAACTATATTATGATCAAAACTTATAAAACACATACATTCTTATAGTGTTTAGAACTATGAAGTAATTTCAGAAGCTGATCTATCAATGTTTCCCACAGATCTGGAACCACCAAGTCTCCCTTCCCACTGGCACCCAAGTTCCTGAGCCAAGCTGCCTCCGGCACAGGAAAGCACTATATTTCCATTCAGTAGATCAAAAGATGAATGAATGACTAAAAGCCAGAAGCTGATGGTTTGGTATGTCTTATTCCAGTGATGCCCTGGGGGGAACTTGGATGTCTTCTAGACCTCAACAGAATTCCTTAATTTAAGGAGTGACCCTGTGGAGCCCAGCCCTACTGAGAACAAACAACCATCCTACAATATTAAAAGAGACAGGTAATCCTGTTAGTTAGTGTGTGTTTATTACATTATGGGTCTAGTTTTTCAGAGGTTTCACTGCCTTAGTTGATCAAATGGGCCATTATGTACTGACAGCACATTTCAGGCTTTCTACTGAGAATCGTTTAAGTCATGGTGTGTAGTTTAATTTATGCTAACTTTACCAGTTCATGCTAGCCACTTGAAGACCTATAATGGTACAGAGTTGTATTAGTGATTTAGTATTGTTTCAGCTCTAGGCGAGATCTTTAATGGCAGAACTCATTTTCAGGTGAAAAAACTGTCTCAGAGTTGTGTGGGAACACACAATGACTTTGGTAATGTATATGCTTTCTATGCAACTGACATTGTAGCCATAGGAAAACCAGATACAGGCCACAAGATCATTTATGCTTATGACTTGAAAACAAATGAATTCTATAGGATTTCCAATCTCCACTTATCCTGTTCTTTCTCATTTTAGTGTTATCAAGGAGCACTCAGGTGCTCAGCATTAAAAACAAAGTCGAGAGACCAGCTCCCTGATCACAAACAAGTTAGAACTGTTTCATCAGCTCCCTCAGATGACTCTGAAAATCACTGACTTTTTTTTCCGTCCTCAGAGATGTGGACTTTGAGGACAGGCTCATGCTCCGTTTCCTCGATGATCTAAGATCCATGGAGCACTACATTCCAAACAAGGTCAGTTTCTGGTGTTGAAAGCGAGGAGGCAGATAGACATCCCACCTTCATCCCTCCTCGAGGGATATAGATGATACTTCAGATGTGCTTAGCTGTTATCTTAGAATCAGGACTTGACCCATTTATACTCTCCAAAGACACATGCCATGAAGGCTTGGCTTTTAAGGTGACTGATATATCTATGAAACAAGAGATTTTTGAACCAACATTTTTTCAGAGACACGACCACTCCTCCAAGCGATTGACTTCCAGTCCCTTAAGTGTTTCCTGAACTAGCATGAAGCTAGCAGATATCTAAGAGTGACCAC